TATATATATATATATATAATTGTAGCACAGAAGCCCTACAATGTTAAGTTAACATTGTTGGATCTTAGACCTGTATTACTGAGCATGGACTTTGGTGTAGCACAGAAGGTCATTTGCAAAGTATGAATTAACTTCAAATATATATATTTTATTTTGCCAGACTGACAGATTTCTCCCTTAAAATGTTTACGGTATTTAATTTACCAGTAATAGGATCATATTTACAGGATTTCAGCTCATTGAATTTTATTTATTTTTCATACTTGATCATTTTTCACAGTATAGTAAGAACTCAGTATGTTTCTAAATATAAGTCAAGTTTAGCTCATCCAAACAGACAAAACATAATAATTCTATAATATCACGTAGAATTGAATTTAGCAGATATTATGATAAACTACAAACAGCTGAAACTGACTCTCACAAAGACAATTCTGAGTTTAGAGGAAATTTAAATGAACGTTAAACAGACGCACATCACTGCTATAATCTGGAGTATATAAATATTTTTCTTTTAGCCTTAATAAAAAAAACAAAAACAAAAAACAAAAAAAAAAACAAAAGCAGCAGAAACAGCTTCTCTCACTGTGAGAGGAAATCTGCAGGCTGCGTGCTCCTGCAGCTGTGCACGTGTCTGTCTGCCTTTATCTTGAACCCGGTCACGTGCGCAGGTTGTGCATGTCTGTACAACGATGATGACACTCCGAACATTAACGGTAAATACAAAGTTAGATTTAAAAAAGTCCCGGGAGGTGGGGGCACAGTGTGGGAGTTGGGGGTGGGGGTGATGGTGTTTCAGTTCTGGTATCTCCGCCTGCTGCAGTGAATTGGTCACGTGTGAACACATTTAACACGTAGACATTTAATAATTTATTACATGTCATCACCTTCATGAAGGGGCGGGTGGTTCTGTTAGGGTAGCGGGGTGTCCTACTTGACTTGCTGCAGGTGAGCTTTCACCTGCAGTCTCTCTCTGCTGCTCACACTCGGACTCACCGTGAACCAGACAGCAGGACCCGCCCTGCTCTGATTGGGCCAAACTGTGGCTCTGGTTCTTTATTCGTTGAAAGTTACACCAGTATCCTTGTTAGACTGGATGGCTTTAACAAGACCATAACAGAACACACATTTTTCCCCTCCTAATTTTTACAGATGATGGAAATCTATTGCGGTGATTGATAACTTTAATCCATGCAGCTGCACGGCTCAGAGCAGAAAACATGTGACTGAATACAACTCACCATCGCATCTTGTTGTAGTTCCACAACTGTCTGAGCTTCAGCACACCTAACACACACAAAAGCTTTCAGTCTTCTTACTGCAGAGTAAATAACCAGGATTACTGAGTTGGGTTCTTACCCCAGATGTGTGGGTCGTCCATGCAGGATTGGTGATTGGACAAAGTGATGAGGGGCGTGTCGGAGGACCTGTGGTCAACCAGATCCAACAAGACTTCATGGTTGTGGACCGTCAGGTAATTCATGTACTCTGAACAGAGATATGGAGAAAAACAGAGGGGGCTGAAAAATGACAACACACATTTACACAAGCAGTACCCTGATGTCCTCCGTCTCTGAAGGATTTGAATAGTACATGTTTGTAGATTTCCAGATGAGCGTTTTTCACGTAGAATGGAATTTAGCAGATATTTATGACAAACTACAAACAGCTGAAACTGACTCTCACAAAGAGAATTCTGAGTTTGGGGGAAATTTAAATGAATGTTAAACAGATGCACATTGCTGCTATAATCTGGAGTATGTATATTTGTCTTTTAGCCTTAATTAAAAAATAAATAAATCTGCAAGCTGCGCGCTCCTGAGGCGGTGCACGTCTCTGTCTGTCTCTATCTCGAACATGGTCACATGCGCAGGTTGTGCATGTCTGTATAATGATGATGACATTACGAACATTAATGGTACATACAAAGTTAAATTTAAAAAAGTCCCAAGAGGTGGGGGCGCGGTGTGGGAGGAGGGGATGAGGGTGATGGTGTTTCAGTTCTGTAGGTTTCCAGATGAGCGTTTTTTTTCTGGACTGGAATTGAACAGGGAATGCAAATAAACCTTAATGATGTTGGTGCAAGATATTCAAGTGAGGAGGAGTTACACTGTGGAGAAGAACAGAGGCAGCTCAGAGTAACTGATCCTGGTGAGTGGAGGGAGTCATTTTATCCACCACCCAGGTGCAATGGTGGAGCCAGGGGATGGCCAATGGTGGCCCTGACCACCAGGGCTTAATTTGTAAACTGACTAAGTCAGACTCAAATTGACTGAGTAAGGATAATATTTGGAGAGGAGGAGGAGAGAAGGACTCTGCGCAGAACCTCGTGTGCGTAAGACAATCTGTCCCTCCGTCCTCACCCCCCCCCCCCCCCCCCCCCACCACCTAGAGGCTCCTCTCCTGCTCCTCGAAGGAGCGTGTAGCTGGTTCGCCGCATGTGCTGCGGCTGGAACATTCACTCCACAGACTGGGTCCACCGGACTAAGGGCAATGTCTCCTCTTGTTGCATTTTTAATAAATAACCAAAATAAAAATGTGCGATGACTTTGGACTTTTAGGGGCGGAGCTGCCGGATCCGAACAAAGAGTTGCCGGAACAGAACGGGTCAAAATGAGAGAGTTCCCGGCTCTTGTTCCAGCAGGATCCGGCTCAAATTAACCACTGTTGACCACTATAGATTAATCATCAACCACTCCAATCATTTGAGAAACTATCATTTTAAGTAATATAAAAACAAGAAAGCATAGTTGCCTCAACTGATAGGGATGTCTGGTTTACATATATAGCTGGGGGTGCCATCTTGGATTTTGACACAGCACCCCAATTTTCAAAAGGAACCTTTCTTACACCTATATGTAGCCACACACCAAAATGAAAGTTGGTATGTTGCTTATTTTTCAAAGTTATCTCACAACATTCAAGGACAAATGAAGAAAATTTCCAATTCCCCTCTTTGCTCTATGTCAGGCAACAAAAATATCAACAAAGCAATGGTTCCTTTTTAATCTAAAATGTGAAAGCTTTTTTGTTTTTGTAGCTTGGTGCACTGACATTGTGTGAAAGTTTTCTTTGAAATGTCAACTTACTGGTCCAGAAGTAGGAATATGAGCCCACCATGCCCATGACCAAGGAGCTGGAGATCCTCCATGCCAGAGCAGGGCATTGTGGAAATGGCCATTTGACCTCCAGGGGCATCTTAGCTTTCTAAAGGGGCTCCATCCATGAGTGAAATGAACACAATGCCAGAGGACCACCAGTCACACCCCACTCATTCAGTAACCCTGTAAAAAAACAACACAAAAAAACTGTTACAAGTTTCAAGCAAACCACCTGTGTGGGTTTAAATAAGATAAACTACATCCAAAGGCAATACTTCCTATATATTACTATTGGCTGGTACTCTAATTATCTCTCAGATAGGAGGCAATGTGTTCAACATAACAGTACTTCTTCCAGTTATCTATCTGTTAACAACGGTGTACCACAAAGTTCAGTTTTAAGACCCACCCTCTTCACAATCTATCTTAGCACACCATGATAGACAGCATCCAACATCTGCAGGGTGCTTGCAGGAGCATTCATGTAAATAATATCATTGTAGTCACTGGAGGGAAGGAAAGTCGCAGGTCAGATCACCCCTGATGCAACCTTACATTTCTACGCTGACAACACAGTTGTTTTTTTGATGCTTCAAATCGTGCCCGGTCTAGGAAACGGCGTGAGAGATCTTTTTTTAATACCGTCTCTCCTCATGTTTTCTTCCATTTTCTCATCTAAGTAAAATATTGTTCTGAATAAGAAGGCCGTGCTTTTTATAGCAGCAGCTTCGTGCACGCTGCCCATCTTTCGGACGACTGTACGTACATGTTCTCGTTGTATCTTGGTGCAATGATAAAGTTTATTCTGATTCTGATTTATTGTCGAGCTAAAACAGTTGCTAAGGTTTTCCAACTTTTATAGTCTGCTTTTGACATCATCCAGTCAGATTTGTTCGGTCTCAAACTTGTGCTAAATGCTGAAAAAACCATAGGTGGGGTATTTTCAAACAGGACATTGGTCCCAGCAGTTCTTCCTTCTATTTTATCTTTGAATGGTGTCCCTATTACCAATGCAGACCAATGCAGGGACCAATGCAGGGACCAATGCAGACATGTTCTTGTTTTTAGTTTTCTATATTCACCTTAGAATCTAGCTGTTTTATGTTACTTTTCTTTTTTTAGCCATCCTCTTTGTTAAAAAAAAATAATCTGTATGCCTTTTTATAACTGTCTATTGTTGTCCACTGTTGTCATCATTCTTTGTTGAAATAAGGACTCGCTTGAAATGAGTCCTCGAGGCTCAATGGGATTTACCTGTCTAAATAAAGGTTGAATGAATTAAGTAAATTGAAAGTTAAACTGGGTTTCTTTTTTAGAAACAGATCCTGTCTAACTCTGAACACTAGGAAACACCTTGTATCTGTGACCTTCCTTCCCTCCATCGATTATGGTGACATTATTTACATGAACGCTCCTACAAGAACCCTGCAGATGTTGGATGCTGTCTATCATGGTGCACTAAGATTCATAACTGGCTGTGATTATCGTCCCCACCACTGCGCCCTGTATTCACTGGTTAACTGGACATCATTAACTTCACGCAGACTCTCTCACTGGTATATTTTCATCTTTAAATCACTTCTTGGTCTGCTGCCTTCATACATCTCCTCCTTCATGTCTCTGCATGAGTGCAGCGACATCGTGCGCTCTCAGGACATTATTACCTGCAGTGTTCCTTCAGTGAGGACTGAACTTGGCAAAAGGGCCTTCTCCTACTCTGCTCCTGTTTCCTGGAATATCTTACAAAATGATCTGAAGCTCTCGACCTTGACCTCTCTAAGTGGCTTTAAGAATCTGTTGGACTCCTGGCAGGGACCAATGCAGACATGTTCCTGTTTTTAGTTTTCTACACCGCCTTATAATCTAGCTGTTTTTTTTTTTTTTTTTTCTTTTTGCTACTTTTCCTTTTGACTGTCCTTTTGGTTGCTACTTTGTTTTGATTTGTTAAAAAAATAAAATTAAATAAAAAATAAATTTTGTATGCTTCTTTTGTGACAGTCTATTGTTGTCACTGTTGTCATCACTCGTTGTTAAAATCAGGTCTCTCTTGTAAATGAATCCCCGAGGCTCAATGGGATTAACCTGTCTAAATAAAGGGTGAATTAATTTTCATCTTTGAATCACTTCTTGGTCTGCTGCCTTCATACATCTCCTCCTACATGTCTCTGCGTGAGTGCAGCTACAGCGTGCGCTCTCAGGACATTATTACCTGCAGTGTTCCCTCAGTGCAAACTGAACCGGGTAAAAGGGCCTTCTCCTACTCTGCTCCTGGAATATCTTATTACAAAAAGATCTGAAGCTCTCGACCTTGACCTCTCTAAGGGATTTCAAACATCTGCTTAGTTCATGGAAAAAACATCTATGTTCTTGTTTAAAACAGGTCTCTCTTGTAAATGAGTCCTCGTGGCTCAATGAGACTAACTTGTATAAATAAAGGTTGAATGACGTGTTCGCATTTTTATCTTGTATTTATTTCAAAACCTTACAACTCATTTGCCTGAAATTTGATAACATACTGGGAATGAGTGGTGTGGAAAAGAGTTACAAAAAAGTCGTGAAAATGTTATCTGTACGAACTTCATTTATCTAAAAACTACTAAGACCTCAGCCGTAAAGTTTAGTGTAACCGCGCACTGCAGATTTGAAACGCGAGCAAGGTTCAAGACATGTTCATTCACTTTGTACCGGCAGGAAAACACACTACAGTAAATCACTTTTATAACAGATTCTCCAAGGTTTGACATCAAGAGTACACACTAACATGTTTCTACTAGTGGATAGATCATCTGTGTATCATTCAGCCCCACACTTTAAATACATCCGAATCATTTTCTGTTTGTTGAACTCTGACCCACACTGACTCGACTTCGTCCGATTATCGAAAGCATTATTTGGATTTTAGAAACGCATGCAAGTGTTGTTTTTTGTGTTAAAATACTTACATTGTGTAATAACAATGTTGAAAATGATCATTTAAATCTTCTTCCTCTTCTTTTATTCCTCCTCCTTCTATTTCTTCTTCTTCTTCTTCGTCGTCGTCTTCCAATAAAGGCGGATTGCAAACAACTTTCAGGTGCATGCCGCCACCTGGTGAGCATGATGTGTAACCTCACATCCTCCACTTTCTAAATTGTTTTTAATTTTTATGTTATATACTGTAAACATATAAAGGACGTTTTTCTAATAAGACTTAAATCCTCCTTGTCCACTTCTGTTCCTAAGATCCCTTTTAAGCTCTCTGCCTCTCTAACTTTTTCTTTCAATTTCTCTGTTTTCTCTATATATTTAACACACTTCATCAGTATATCTTCCACACTTTCTGTTTCCCCACATTCCTCACAGTTTATGTTATTCCCATCCCACATTATATACAATGAATCATTTAGATAAGTATGATCTACTCTCAGTCTTATCGCGATCTTTATGTTGAAAGGCGACGGTGCAATACTGCCATCATCTGGTAATAGTGTGTATCGATACAGCCCTTTTAAAAACAAAACAAAAAACAAATTAAATACATTACATTATTTTCACCAATCAAATTACTGCAAGAAAAAAAATATAATACGTCGTCCGTTTCTTAAAAGCCTATTGGGTCTTTCGTGATTGCATGCACTGTAGACATTTTTACTTGAGGGCGCTGTTGGGAGAGCGGACGGAGAAGCGAAGTTACGAGTACGCATGTGCGAACTGCGAACGTACAGCTAACACTTCCGGGTCACAGGTTACGCGGGCTAAACATTATTGTTCTGGAAACGCCGGTGGAATCCAACGCATTTAAACAGGTAAAATATACATTGTTTTACACACCTAATTTATTTGCGTTAAAACAACCCGTGCTAAAATATCCTTTAAGATCAGAGGAGGGATTTTTCATGTATGCATATTTGAATTTGCTTTTTGAATGTTTTTTGAACGTGTTGCCACGGTTACGACTGTGGCATATTGTCACTTTAATTCACTTATAGTCACAACATAAGTAATCTCAGGGCACTGAACAGTAGTGATGAGCAAATTAAGCTTTTGTGAAGCACTGAACCAGTTGGGCCAAATGTTTCAAAAATAGGTTAATTTGTTGAAGCTTCAGTTACAGTGACCTCTTGTGGCATTTTGCAATGCTGCTCCAATTAGGCCTTATGCTTTTGGTGGCACACACCGAAGAACTTCAGTGACTAGTGTTAAAAAAACTACTTTATGTTTACATGTTTTCAAATAAAGATTGATAAATGTGCATTGAAGCGATTTAATAAAAATGTTGCCATGGTATTGTGTTGTGGCAGAGTCTTTATCATTCTTAAAAATAACAATGAAATGACATTTCCAGCATCTCCATGTAGTGCCTAATAATCATAGAGGAGGTATTACCATGATGCTTCAGTTCAGTTGAACACAACAAACACTGCACCTGTAGAAATACACTAATGTAAATAAAAATTTAATTTGAGCCCATACTGATATATGATTATTCAAATCACATACATAATTTTACTGTATTTATATTAAATACATGGATTAAATGGATTAGATAATATCTTCACTGCTGAACATTACTATAACTTTTCTGACCTATTTAAATACCAAAACTACCTCATCATGAGCAGAACGAAGTGTTCCCACATGTTAAAACAACCTCTTTTCCTGGCTGGCTCCATAATTACTCAATTACAACTATAGCAAAAACACACCTACTCTCCAACACATTGCAAACATTTTAGAGCTGTTTTATAGTGTTGAACGCTCTCAATTCAAAACTGTCTCAACCTGTCACCTGTCAGAATCGAAACGAAGCGGTGCCAGGAAATCAGCTGGTGGGACCATGAACAAGTCGAGCGATTCATTCAGACAACACAACAGTTTGTGTTTCGGACGTCACATGTCATGTGACTTCTTCCGCACCAAAACAGGCTCCGAAACATTGCTCCGATGTAATTTTACTTCAGGGTTTGAAGCATGTTTTGAAGCTTTTGTTTCATACTACCATCACTACTGTACAGAAACATTCGTAGACTTCTGAGGATCAGTTATTTTTGTTTTCAGCTGCTCAAAAAAAGCAAGAAACTTAAATTGTTTGGGACATCTAATGAGTCCGAATATTTGTAAAGCTTCAGCTACATCCCTTGTCTTTTATTAGAAAAGGCTTTTCTAATAAAAGGCTAAACCAAATCAGTGTGTAAAGTTTTGACCACGGTGAAGTTAGTTTTAATTTGCTTGAATGTCCAACGTCCAATAAAAAACTAACTTCACCACCTTAAAGTTGCTGAAAACTTTTTCATGTTGACATTACAGAAATTGTGTTGGACTGGATTAGACTGAAAAGAGCAGTTCATTGTTAGCTTTCTGTCTTTTGCAGAACATCAACTTCATACACTTTTTGCATGTCACACAATGTGCATTATGTGCATACCCCCTCCCCCCCAACAATTCTGGGGGTAAATGTGGATATTAGCATTTTTTTTGATTATTTGATTGCACAGACAATATTTATTATTGTGAGATTTGTACCACTTTTGGATTTAAAAGCCCACATAATTTAAAACAATTGAAAATCATGTTATTTTTTGCAAAATTCTAGAACCTACATTGATCGAGGTAATATTTTTCATCATTTGGTAGTCCCCCTATGAGGGCCTCTAGACCTGCACGTGTACACTTTGAGTACAGGTATAGGTGATGGGAAATAGGATTAAATTGGATTTTGTAGTTTTTTGTGTTATTTCCTATTTCATGCTAAAATGAACAAAACTCAAACTATTGAACAAAGAATGTGCATATATATGCAAAAGAAAATGTGCAATTTGCATACAAAAAGACACAATTCAAAAAGAGCATTGCAAATAAAAGACCGGGATGGGTGCAACCAAATAAAAAAAGTTTTGATGTGGGGTTTTTTTCGAGGTGTTTTTTTTTTCTTTTTTTTTCCAGTCTTTTTGATGGTGGACAGAGAATTTTTTTCTTCTTTTGTTTTTCAAGAAGAAAATTGTATATGCATGTGTTATGTTTGTTGGTGTCAATTTTTGTACATGTTTTGTAAAATTTTTAGTTCAATAAAGTATATAAAAAATTTAAACAAGACGTGCCGGTTTGTTTCCGGTTTGTACTCGCATGAATTTCAGTGTTTTCTGTCCCACTCTTGTGTTTAACTGTTTCACTCTTGTGTTTAACTGTTTCACTC